ATATATATATATATATATATATATATATATATATATATATATATATCTCAGTAATCTCAGTGCAGGAGCTGCATGCACCACTAGCAAGTTTGCTGATGATACCAGGCTGGGAGGTGCTGTTGACACTCTTGAGGGACAAGACACCTTGCAGAGAGATCTAGATACACCAGAGTATTGGGTAATGATTACTGGGAGATTTAACAATGCTGGATTCTGCACCTAGGATGGAGTAGGTCAGGCGCAAGAATAAATTGGGAGAGGAATGGCTGGAGAGCAACCTGCAGAAAGGTGTCTGGGGGTGCTGATGGACAGCAAGCTCAGTGTGAATCGGCAGGGAGCCCTGGCAGCCCAGAGGGCAAATCCCATCCTGGGGTGCATCAAACACAGCGTCACCAGTCACTCAGGACAGGTGATTATCCTGCTGTATTCAGTGTTGGTGCAGCCTCACCCGGAGTTCTGTGTGCAGTTCTGGGCCCTACAATTTAAGAAGGATTTGAAGGTACTTGAATGCATCCAGAGGAGGGCTACAAAGCTGGTGGAAGTGCTGGAAGGAATGTCATATGAGGAGCAGCTGAGGACAGTTTGTCTAGCTTGGAGAAAAGCAGGCTGCAGGGCAACTTCATTGCTGTCTAAAGCTTCCTGAGGAGGGGAAGTGGAGAGGGAGGTGCTGATACCATCTCCTTGGGATTCAGTGACAGGATGTGTGGGAATGGCTCAAAAGCTGCAACAGGGAAGCACTAGGAACCATTTCTTTACTGAGAGGGTGGTCAAACCCTGGAACAGGCTTCCAGAAGAGTTGATTAAAGCCCCCAGATGGTCAGTGTTCAAGAGGCATTTGGACAATGCCCTTAACAATATGCTTTAACTTTTGGTCAGCCCTGAAGTGGTCAGGCAATTCACTGAAATAGTCTATTCTAAAAACCTATCATTTCTTTTCTGTGCATTTACAGGCCAGGGCAGAAGAGAACAGGGTCTATAATCAATCACAGAGAAATGTAGATGGAAACTATCTTTCCTGCCAGATTAGAATCTGCCTGCTTCCTCAGTTCCTCCAATATTCAGCTTTCTTAAGAAATACAGAAAAAAGCATACAAAAGCGACCCAATCAACATGAACATTATCCAGATGAGTAACATTTAATCACAGCTGCACATGAAACTGGCAGGTCACTTAAACTGCCTTGAAGAAACATCTCTCATCTGTTCTGACCACATCATCTTCTTCAACTTAAATCCTTGAAAATCCATTTTTGGATCTATTCCAAATGTCAAGCTTCCAGACTTGTTTCTCAGTCTAAGTGGTCAAACTTTCCAGACCTTCTCAACCCAGAAATTACATACAACACAAAGGTTATTATTTAATCTAAATTTTAGAATATAAAATTTTGAAAGTGTAGTACTTGGACCCTTCTCTTCCAATACAAGATTGCAGGATTTTGTCAATTTCTACCCATCTCTACTTACTTTTGAGCCCAACAGTCATTTTCAACAAAAGCCCAGGTAAGAGCAGATGTTGCTAAGACAGCAAGTTCCAAGCGGTTACATGGATATCATTCCAACAGACTTGTTGAACGTAGGTGGACATTATGGTGCAGCCTTAACGTGTGATCTGTTTTGCCTGCTGGCTAAACAATCTGTTAATGCACACCAGACCACTAATCAAAACATATCCAGCCAACCACGGCCCATGGTTTCGCATGAGCTAGTAATCAGGGTACACGTGATGGAGCTAAAAAGGTTCAAGAGACTTCAGGAATGTGGGCCGGGTACAGGGAAAGAAACAGGGTGACTAGGATGGATGAATGAGCTACAGAGAAGCAAAATAACTCTAAAAAGCCAAGCTATGCTAGTCAGGGAACTACTTGTTTTAAACACTTCCTCCACTGTGAATTCTTTGTTTGTTTTTTAATACATTCGAAGTTGGCAATACCATATTATTTTAAAATTACTTTTAAAGACTTCAACAAATTAAATCAGTCAAGAAATAACTTGCATGCTTACTTTGATACTGTTTAGTCCTGAGGGTCCTAAGAGTACTCCACAGATGATATATCCAAACATGGTTGGCAATCCTATTGTTGTGCACAGCCAGCCACATGGCAAAGACAACATTCCTATTGTCACAATATCCTAAATAGATAAGATTTACAAATGCATTAATATAAAGAACACACAAATTTGGGATGAAATTAAAGACTATTATCTTTAAAAAGATAAACAGCACTGTAAAATTAAATGTAGAATACTGCCTGTGAAAAGAAAACACAACTTCAACGCTGTTGCAGGTGTAAGCACAGCAGTTTTGCAGATGAAGCAGTAGTACTGACCTTAAGTAACTGGGGGACTTCTGATCAATTTAATAAATATTTTAAATATATTACAGAAAGTAGGCAATTTCCTGGATGGAATGACACTTTGCATTAAAACAAGATGGTGAAACAGGTCTGGTTTGGGTTTCTATAATTAAAAAAGAATCCCAATCCAGTTACTCTATTGGAAGCACAAATACAATAAAACTCTTGCCATGTCTACGTATTTACCAGCATCCCTTCTTTCATCCCGAGACACAAACAAATGAATTCTCTCTACTGACAACATGCAAGTGGCTTATCAGGCACAGCAGTAGCTTGCTATAACACTGTGCAGTCCAAGAGAAGGGATGGTGCCCCAAAAGTGCAACAAGATAAATAAAAACAGAGAGGATTCACGTGGCACCATGATTAGTCTTGTGAAGACTATCCTAAGAGTAGGGAACATATGGCTAAATTACCATAGATAGGGGACTCATGAATGCTGGGGTAATTTTACAGGAACATACGCTGAATTTACATTCAATCCAACCAAGGACTACTGACATACAAACTAGTGGGACTAAATCTGACCAAAAGCAATGACAAGAATGTCTCTAAAATGATTACCTTTATGAAATGATGGTCAGCACGAGGAATGGTTGAATCTCTCGGTTTGGTAAGGATATACTGATTGTTCTGGGAATCAATAAGCATACTAAGACCTAAGTCATCCTCTACTTCTCTTTTTGAAGCATTTCTTTTGGAGTTTGTTTCATCTTCTTCCACCCTTAAAACCGCTTCAAAGTTTACACCTCTTACCTGTCAGAAAAAGAAAACAAATAATCAAACAAACAAAAAAGTGGGAGCCAGTTAAGCATATAATAAAAACGGAAAGACTATTAGCTGTGCTTGAAGTTCTTACAGAACTTGTTGACAACAGCTAAAAATACTGCAGCTTTTTTCTCTAAGAAGTCTTTCATTTTCTTTATTAAAACTTGGGTGTCTTGAAATGTAACATGTTATTACCTTGAACAAAAACAACTGGAGATTACAAAGTGATATTCAGTTCTCAAGAATATGAATTAAAGACTGCATTACAAGTCAAGAAAAGGTAACTGTTCTGTAAATTTGAAGGAGAGGCTGTAAAAACTGTTTCTACCTAGTTATTTTCAGGATTTTATTTCCCAAAACAGCAATTCATGGAAGCAGGTTGTAGCTCGTATTTTTTTTTTCATTTTTACCAACTACACTTCTCTATTTGATTATATTTTAATAGAAGCCTGTATATCTTTACCAGAATACTGATAACTCTATTAGAGCCTCTCTGTTCTAAAATTCCAGTGTTTTTGCTTAAATGTTCCTTGCAAAGACAGAGATGCAAATAGTCCTCCAGGTTGCATTCCATGATTCCTTTTCTTTCATGGATGGAGATACAAGCAGAAAAACAAAGAGATGCCCTGGAGGAGAAGGACGCTTTGGCGTTTTTCCAGCTCTCACGTGCCGCAGGACGGACCTCGCTATTCCACGGTGGAACAGGAGAGGGCGCTCCCGCGGCCCGGCCCGGCCCCGCTGCCGGCGCTGCCAGGTGGGACCCGCGGGGCACAACCGCTCGTACCAGGTGTGCACGGAATAAAACAGCTGCTTTCACTTTCTCTCCATACAACTACAACTACAAAAAATCCCACGGCTTGGCGCTCTACTACAGAGCAACTGTTTTTTTCCTCCTCAGCGGAATTCAAGAGCTATGCTCACCTCGGAAGTCAACCTGCAAATCAACTAAAACCTCTCAAGAGCAAAGGCCAAGTAAAGTTGCAATCCATGGCTATGCAAACAGGGCCAGTTTAGAGGGTCTGTCTCTGAGGATGGCAAAATGAGACACTACAATAAACTGACACATTCTCAGCTCCAGAAACACGCAGCCTTAACCTGAGGAATACTGTCTGTCATGCAACATAAAAACAAAGAACAATGCAAGTAGGCCAGGGTGCAAAAGGCAGAGGAAGTCAGAAGTGGAAGAAAGCAACACCACAAACACATTTCAGGTCCTTCCCTTAAACAATATATCTTTTCCCAGACTGTGAAAACTAACTGCAAGGATTCTTGTTCTCCCGTAACTTTCTCAACAAAATGAAAATGTGGAGACTGCTTAACACGGTAACTCCATATCCTGAGAAGTCCAACCATCACAGTTCCCACCACCACTGAGATGTCATATCTGTCATGGGCTGTATCAGTGAGATGGGCTACATTTGTCAAAGTGGCAGCTGCAGGGAGGACTTTCAAATCAAAAACACAGAAATCACAAGCAAAAAGGAGCAATTATTCCTGATGCTCACTATTCTTCAATCCCATAACCCTAACAACTATGCGTTAGCATGAGAAACACACTTACAGTGCAAATACTAATTATAAATAAATGCATATCAATGAAAGGACTGAGTCTAAAACATCACTTACAGATTTGTTGTCATCAAAGGCATGCTCTTCTATTTCCTCTTCCAATCTATCAGCTGCCTTCCTGACATCTTCCAGAATTTCATCAAGCATTGACAGGCTTTTGTTTTGATGCTGCATGTTCTTAAGGGCTTCAACTTGGTGTTTTTCTGCTGCTAAGAGTTCGACATATTCCATTTCTTCCTGTTGAATTTTACAACACACAGATAAAGTGCTGGCCAGGCCTCTGAGCAGAAAAACATCTGACATAAATGTATGCTTCTTTTGACACAAAACATCTTATCAGTGGAATTGAAAAAGCAACATAGAATTCATTATGGTATTTGAAGATTGCTTTCTCTTGTGCCAATTTTCATTGGCATAAACGGACAAGAAAAACAACCACCAAACAAAATATCCACCAATTACCTTTTCTAATCCATTAAACAGTAGAGCTGACCCAAGAGTATGATCCAGAAAATACAAGAAAGGACTTACTTTGATAAACTCTAGGAAACATTTCAGAGCCAAGTAGAGTTTAGCACCCAGTGCTTTAAGAGGGAATACCTTGAAAGCATAGCTATAATATCTACAGCAAACAAACTGTATGGAAAAAACAATGAATCTTAACTTTATAAAATGCTTTATTTTTCAAAAATTACAGTAACTGTGGAAACAGCCACAAGAAAAGAAAAGAAAAAAAGAAAAGAGGTGGGAGAGAGATGAGCAGCCAATCACTCTAGCCAAGTTTCCTGTTTATGTTCTCAAACCATGACAGTTTCCCAAGAAGTACTTTCCTATCAGAAGTAAAATACTTGACTTTTTCCCCCATTTCAGTTTGAGCCTCTTATAAACTTACACTGATAACTTCTGAAATTCATTTCTAGGCTTCAGAAGTAAGAGAAGAGAAAATGCTAATATGGTTTGATACAGTGTGAAAATACTCCCTGAAAAAGTTATGATGTTTCATTTCTCTTTGGATGTTTCAGGTTCAAAAAGACAACTAAAAGGCTTAATTTACTGATCAAGACTGGACTTAACACTGCACCTTCTACATAGTTACCATGACAGTAACCAAACTGAATATTTTGTGTGTTGACAGAGAACAATCTGAGGCTTTTGGAAAAAAAGATTCTTCCCTTTACATGCCTACATTCTTTTAAAGATGCACTGGTTGAGAGAACAGCTATGAGCAAGGAAACATCCACAATTACAGCACTTCTTCCTTACAGTTAGGTTCAGGATGCTGACAATACTTAGATGAGAGAGACCCTACTTCTGCTCTTTAAGAGAGCCAGTATTATTACCAAGGGCAAAAAATGGGCAAAAAATGCAAGCAATCTCTAGCTCTGAGTCAATTCCCAGAAAACACAAGTTTTTGTCTCCAAAAGAGAGATGCCCTGCCATACCCAGTTAGAAATCAGAGAATGTAGGTCTCCCTTAGGTTGTGTGTTTTACCCTGCCTACCCTCCGTAGACATCTTCAATAACCTGGACATATAAAGTGGTCCTAAACACCTATGCTTAAGTAAGTGGAGTGTCCCCTCCTCCACACATTTGCAGATGGACATTTTCCCCCTTAAAACCTGCAAGAACACGCATGTAATTTAATCAATTCCATGATGCCAAGACAACAGTACGTTCAGTACAACTGATATCTGTAGCTTAATTCTTTTAAAATCCTGACACTCAGATGAATGCCTCTGATTGTGATGAAACCACAGAACTGCTGTCTGTTGGTGTTTAGAATTACCATAGTTACACAGGCATGATGAAAGTTACCCAGATCCCAAAATAAGTGAAGTTGGGAAAAACGTAACTATTAACGTGTTTAGCCCAATGCCAACAATTAGTTCTTATGCAACACTTAAGTAGGAGACACAATCATACTGCCTCGAGGAAAAACATTTCCTATCTGGTGCTCTTTGCTAGCAGACATTGCCTGAAAGACGTAAAAAACAGCCGCCATATGAGCTGCAGATTTTCTGCTCATTCAGCAACAACTTGGAATGCAAGATGAATTGTTAGATTCTTTCCCCTCAAAAACTGAAGACGCTTTGGGTGCAGAGAGCCAATTTCAGACCTTTCTGTCGGTGGACACAAACAGGCTGAACAGAGCTAGAGGTAAACTGCAGAATAATAAATAATTCAGTAATTTCAAAGGAGTTAACTTTCCCTGAATAGCAACATAGAAGAGCTTTGAAAAATCAGTTTAACTGCAAGTTCCTTCAATTAATGGAGATGAAAGTTTTTGTAGTCTATTAAAGAGGCATCTCTGCTTCCACCTACAGACCACTGTGACAGCAGTAGAGTGGAACAACCACAGAGAACGGTGTCCATAAAAAAGGACAAGTTATCTCAAACAACTCTATGCTGAGCAGAAGTACATCACAGTACAAACACTGTTCTGCAGCTGCTGGGATTGGAGACACCCGATCACAAGGTACATACCGAACCACCTCTTAAGCAAAGTAATACAGATAAGGATTGTGCACTTAACAGGAACACCTAGAAACACGAGCAAAATGTAAGACTTTGGGGCAATGCTGATTAAGAAGGCAGTGATGCTGTTTTCTCTACTACTTAGTCAGAGATGACAAAAGCACATTCAGAAGAGGTTGCATCTTTGCACTACTTGCAAGGGTTTGTTTTTTTTTCCATCGATGTCTGATTACTAGGCACCCAAGAAATCAGAAGCTGATAAAATGTAGGCAAGATTTTGTTGCTTTTTCCTGAACCTCCACACAGGCTCCTGGAGCAAAAGAAGGCAGAAAGAGTGTTCAGTGCTTCTTCCTTACTTCCCCCTCACCCTGTGAATGATTCCACAAGACCTTTTCCCAGCAGCAGAATCAGCAAGAAATGCATCATACATACATACATATCCCAACACGAAAGACTTTCAAGTATTTCAACTCAACAAAATTAAAATGAAGGGAAGAGTCCAGCCTCCATTTGTATTTTCCATTCACTCACTGTTTAAAAAATGGAAAAGATGATTTATGAGTACACCAACAAAGTAATCATTACAGTAAAATGAAACTGGAACAAAAAGTAGACCTAATGTGTACCTTCTCAAGTAAGAACAAGTCCAAAAAAATGTATCCCATGAAATTTTCATCTTTTTGGCATGCATTTCTCCACATTCTTTGTTTCCCTTTATAGAATAATTAAAAGGTTAGAACAACAAATAGTCTATTTAAAGAATCATGTGCATGGCATAAGAAGGAAGGGTGCAAAAAATTGTTCACTCAAGTAAATGTACTGATATGATAATACAAAAAGCCTATACAATCCACCTCTGCAAAAGTAAAGTTTTGACAGGACCAATCTCTAAAACACATCATTATATACAGAGATCTCCTTTTAGGAGAAAAACAATGAAGCACCATTCTCAAATTCAAGGACAGATTACCTCAGTACTTTACAGTAACATTACCAAGAATTAGGTAAATGAGAAAGAAGATTCTGGACAGCTTTACTGCTGCTATTTTACAAGATCTGAGAAAGAAAAAAGGTGGAAAATCAAGTAATGCTCAGAATGCTCACGACAATTGCTACCATTTCTATACAGCAGAGGCTGCTACTACGATTAAGAATCAATATCCAAGTCATATCAAGCACTTCATTGGAACACACCTAGATCGAAACCACTCCCTATCCAAATTTTTTGTAATTCAGTCTTTGTTTCCACTGCACAGAACCACTCCAGTTTCCCAAGTTTGCATCCTAACTTCTACTTCCACCAGCCTTCCTTGCCTCAAATCACTGCACACCTTTCTTGCACAAAATCTTTCAGTCTTCACCTGTAAAGATCTGCAAACCTCTTAACACAAATGCCCTTTAGCCATTCTCCCAACTCAGACCCTAGACCCCAAATACATTTTTGTTCCTTCTCTCACTCCCTTGTGCAAAGGCAGCCTCTTCTTTCAGAAGATGGAAAACAAAGAAAATTCTTAATATGTTCCTCCAGTGGTTGAGGGGTAGAGCAAGGAAAAGAGCAATTTAAATACCAAATAAACTAAATGAAATTTTCTCTCAGTGGGAGCCTTTCAGAGCACTGCCAAGTCCAGAAGACAGTGGCAGACTGTGCACAACCTAATGGATCTGCATTGACATGGAAACTCAAATTTTCCATTAAATACTTGTGCTCAACTATTACTCATCTGTGTTTTTTCTTGGCAAAGTTATCTCAGCTGGCTCTTTCTTGAAAGCTCTGCTTTTCAAACCTGCATTTCTTAGGCTAAGAGTGCTATACTGAGTTTAAAAATATAGTCACTTACTATTTTGCATGCCCATTTTACCCCTATCTATACTAACATGGAAATGAAAGGCAGTACATCATGTTGTTTAAATTGTAGGCTTTGGTTGAGCAATTCTAAGGTAAAGTGGAAAAAGCAGCTAGTATTTTGCCAATTTATGGCATTATTTCCACTCTGATAACCCCACTGGCTTGTCTTGCGTGACTGTGCTATGTGCACTGACTCACTGCTTGTATTCCTTTCTCTTTAACATAATATTTGCCATAGGTCTTACGATTATGCTTAGCTTTGAGATAAGAACGATTGACTGCTAATAAGTTTTAAGATCTACACCAGAATTACCTCTAAATTTACTAATGAGAACAAATAATTAATTCAAAATCCATTTTAAATATCGCAATTTCTACATAGATACCCTTTTTTATTAAAACGGAATGAAACTGGGTCATAATAGAATTAAAATCACACGTAGAGTATGAATACTGTAGTAATAAACATGGGGAAACTAACCTTAATTGCAGCTTCTCTCAAGGCTTCCAGCCTCTGTCTACTGCTTTCTTTCATATTTACAACATCTTTGTAATCCCCCTGTAGAGCTCTCTGTAGGCCATGGATTGCCTGAAAGACGGAGTTTTCACTTTCATTTAGCTCCTTTTGGAAAATTTCAAAGGTATGCACCTGAAAAAGTTTCTCTTCATCAGACAGTCCTACATCCTTCTCAACTGCTCTTATGGCATTTTTCAGTTTGTTGAGAACAACGTTCTTTTGGCGAAGAAGACCAGACAGTTTTCTGCAACTTTCCAACACCCACTGCTTCCTCTGAGTGATAACAGCTCCTTTTCCACGGTGCAGCTTTATTGCATGCTTTACTACATCTTCATGTTCTGCAGGATTTGCTAACTGGCCACAAGGCAATGAAACCAATGTCCACAGGGAAATAAATCCAGTCGCCTTCATTCTTCACTTTATGTTGCTCTTGGGAGAAACTGATAATTCACAACTGCTCAAAGGATTCTGCTACATGATTTCTGCATCTCCAGTACGCACACCAGGCTGCAAGATAGTACCAATCAGTTATCAAATGTGGTAATGATGGGCCATGAGGTCAAACAAATGTAGAAAATAAACCCAAGATTGCGTCCTACACCACGGAACATATGTGGTCTCCTTCAGTCAACATTTAACAAAAACAAGAAACAGCCCAAAGTTACTGATAGATTACTGATAGATTACTGATAGATAGGTTTCCCCTTGACTATTTCCTGATAGCATCTTGTTTTAAAAACAGTGACCGGAAAGCTTAGTCACTTCACGTGGTACTCATCGGCACTTCTTACATGAAAGGAAAACCTCTAAAAATATCAGGCCATGATGTCACAGGCTGCACTTCAACCTAGAACTCCTTATTTTTATCTGTCAATAAACCTCCTGTATTTTCTCAAACCTATCCTAAAAAAATTACATCATAATAATTTGTTATTTATAAGTCTCGGAAGCATTAACACGCTCAACAAAACATAATGAAACAGATTACATTATAAATTGTAATTGTGGAACAAAAAACAGCAAAACCTCCTGGACTTCTGGGTTCTACTAGTTTGGATCAAAGACTTTCTTCACCTGAAAGGCTGCAGGGCCTTGGGATACTTTACTTCAAAGCTTACTATTGATCCTCATGATTTTAAAATAGTTATAAAACCACTAAATCAGTTCATTTTTAAGTTCATTTCCCAGAAACTACTTGGAGATCCATATATAAACTGCTGTAATTGATTTTAACACCAAGTAGGATAGGATTTTAAAGCTAAAAGCTACCTTCTTTCCCTCAGAAGCTCCAGGAAAATGCTGACGCTATTGTAAAATAACAAAGTTATAGTGTCTTTTAAAAAAACCCAAACAAATACAAAAACCTTTAAACCCCTACCACCACCACAAAGCTATACATAGCAATGTCTAAATGTCTCTACAAAATATACATTTAACACTGAAGCATGGCATTGTAAAAATGCACAGTACACACAACATGTTAGTAGATCATCATTTCAGCAGGTATTTCCCTAAAACTTTAGCTACAGTCTTGATCCCTCAGCCAACAGCCTTAATCAGGAACCAACAAGTGGACATGGTCATCTGGGAGCAGTCTGTCTAAGAAAGAATCTTCTTTTCCTATAATGTAGTACAACCTCAAGCATCCAAGCCAGCCATTCTCAATATACAGAATGAGATCTGAGCAATCTGGTCTAATGGAAGGTCTCCCTGCCCACAGCAGTGGGGTTGGAACTAGATGGTCTTTAAGGCCCCTTCCAACCCAGGCCATTCTGTGATTCTGTGGGAAGATGGCAAGCACAGCCATACACATTTTAAAATGCCCTTTGTTTCAGAGGGAACTGAGAAAACCTGTCTGCGGGTTTTCTTCAATGAAAGCCAAAGTATTTACCTAAAAATAGTTGACTGTGGGCTAGGGTTCAACAATATGAAGAGCTAAAACATTTAAAATTAAGAACTGAAAGTGCAACTGAAGTAACAAAAGCATATCACCTCAGTCTAATATCAACAGACTAGCAGTGTAGAAATATTTCAGCTGTGGGGTTTACTATTTTTAAGAAAGCAGAAAAATAACAATTTCCACCACCTGGCAAAGTTCTAGAGTGAAATTAAAGGAAATATTTCTTCATGTATACAAAATAATACTCTCCCTGTTTGGTAGGCTTGGGGCAGAGATTTTGCTAAATATATTACAATCTATTTCTTCAAGAGAGAGGAAGAAGAAAACACCCAGTGTATATCCAAGCTTCCGTCTTCAGAGAGTGGAGTAAAAGACTCTACTGCACATCTTACATGGTATGTCAAACCACATAACTAAATTTCGAGCACAGATTTATACTAGCAAAGTTCACTCACTGTTGTGCTGCGCAAACTTAGCAACGTGGTTCAGACACAGGACAGTTTTGTTTCAGTGGTTTTTACTTGGCTAGCAAAAACTAGAAAACTAGCATCTGGGGCAGTGCTCAAAAGCTCTCACGTACCAAAATAAATTATGTGATGCAGAATGCAAATAAAAAATAAATAAAACCCAACAAAAATAAACACTCCTCTCCGTGCATCAGTAAGTACCAAATCAGAGGGAACTACTATCGTTTAGAGTCCTTATTTAAGCACAGTTGCTTCCTGATGGATTGCAGCTCATCTTCCCCGTTTTTAATCCCTGACCACGACACTGTAGCACCGGATTTCATCGAGTTGGCGATACTGGACCCTGCCTCCAATGCAAACCTCGTTCCCTCTCTTCCAAAACGCTTGCAGGTCCTTCCACACCTGCCAGTTCGCCGCCACCCACCACTTTTCCCCATCCCAGCTCCTCCCCGGGAGCCGCAGGGCAGCCGGGGCCGTGCCCGCCCGGTACCTCCGCCCGGCGCGGTCCCACCCGAGCGCCACGACAGTTCCCGGCGCCGCTCCCTGGGGAAGAGCAGGGAGCACAGAAAAGGATGAGCAGAACGCGGGTGCGACCGGCCCGTCTCCTGCCCGCTCATGGCGGCGGAGGGACGGGGGGAGCGGCGGCCGCCCCGCCCGGCGCTCCCGGCAGCGACGCTCACCTGAGGGACGGAGAGGGCGGCAGCGGCCGCGGGGAAAGGGTGGGATCGCAGCGCGGTGAGCACGGGGGGGTGAGGGGGTGGCGGCCGCTGGCGAAGGGCGCTGAGGAGCCCCGTCCTTGCGGCCGCCCGTGGCCCCGCGCCGGTGCCCGAGCGCCGGGGCGGCGCCTTCGGGCGCAGCGCCGGGCGGGACCCGCGCTCCGAGCGCCGCCTCGCGGGCGGGAAACGTCACCGCGGCCTCTCGCCGCACGCCGGGAGTTGTAGTCGGAGCCGCAGCCCGGGAGCCGCCGCAACAGAAGAGCCACAGCCCGGGAGCCGCCGCCGCTGCCCGGGGCACCCCTGCGGGATCCGCACTGCGGCCCCGCATTCCTCCCCCGCGGCCCGTGCCCGGAGCGCTCGCCGCGGGAGGCGGCGCGGGCGGGCCGGTGCGCGCCTGCGCGGGAGGCGGCGCCGGGCGGTGAAGTTGGTGGGGGCGCCGGTAATAAAATGGTAGGTTGTGCGAGCGGGGGGAGGGGAGGCGGTGGAACCTGGGACGGGGGAGAGTCCCGAGTAACCCCCGGAACAGCCCCCGGGCACCCGCGCCTTCCCACCGCTCCGGCTCCCGCTGCCCTGCCCGGGGAGGGGGCACGACGCCAGGCGGGGAGGGTGGGGGACGCGGGGATGGACGGACACACACACCCCGTGCGGAGTCGCCCTCCTGCCGCCTCCTCCGCCGGGCCGGGAGCCGGGAAGGTCACCGGGGGCGGCGGGGGAAGGGAGAGGGCCGGGCACCGCCGCGGGTATTTCGAGCGCCGGCAGCCGGCGCGGCGCGTACCTTTCCCTTTTTTGGGATTCGGGTTGGCGGGGCAGGTCTCCGGAGTCCCGAGTCCCTCGCTCCCACTGCCCCCCTCCCCGCTGGGGGACGCGGCAGGTGCAGCTGGAGGAGGTGGAAAGGTGCGGTACAAATTCCCTTCCCGGGCCGGGATGGCGGGGAGCGGCCGGGGCTGCCCTGGGAAGGAGGGGTTCGCCTGGTGCAGCGGCTCCAGCGCTTCCCTGGGGTGTGCGGTGCGGTGTCATTGGCGTTCGGAGAGGTGACTGAGCTGTCTGTACCGGGATGGGAGGTGCGCATCCTTGTCCGGGTGCCATCAGCGAGAGGTGACGCTGGAGACAGGACTCCCAGAGCTTCCCCGGCCCCGCAGGGATTGTGGCGGGTCCCGTGTCCGCTGCCCAGGGCTCGGGGCGCAGAGGAGCAGCAGGAACCGTACGACGTGGCAGAGTAGTGGATTGGGGAGTCGGGTGTGTTTCTTATCGCTGATTCCTTCAAATAACCCAATGTTTCATTTCGCAGCTAGAAAATATCCCTAAGCACCTTAACTAGGCTTGAAAGAGGACGTGGGGTTTGCTTTGGAGTTGTTGGCAGAGACCTGTGTTTTGAAGTGATCCTCACTAAGTTCGTTGCTCACAAAAAGTTTATGTACCTAAGGAAGATCTTGGTGCAGAGACTCCCATAGCTAGACTTTAATGAAAATTTGGAGGCAAGGTCGTGGTTACATAGAGCTTGCAGTCAAAGGATTATTGATTATTTTCTTACCAAAATACGTTGTATTTTTGCAGCTTTTTCTTCCCCACTGTACACGTTTCTTGTATAAAAAGAAACTCTATATGGTTCTTATTATATTAAACTGAAAAATCTTGTAGGAAGGACCAAAGTCCTTATCTTGTTTACATGATGTATGTCTTGTCTCAGGACTGTCTGTAGTTGAGATGTCACCATCCATATGTACAACAGATAACACAGGACCATCTTTCAGTTTACTTGTTTGCTGCTTACTGCACACTGAGTCAGGATTCAGTTGTTCTTGATATTTAAGAGACCAGTAAATTTTCCATTATATCTGATGATTTAGGCTGTATTGAAGAACTTAGATTTGTCAGCTTAGTTGTTGGACCAAACCATGTGTTAAGTATGGTTTAACAAAACTGGAAAGTACAGAATATAATAAAAAACAGAGTTTGATTTAAGGTATCTCCTTCTAACTTCATGTAAAGAATAATGTTGAACTATGTTACTAGCAAATTTGGTCTCTGTAAATTACCTGTTTCTACTTCTTGGGTGTTCCAGGCGTTTGGGGATGTTATGTCAGTATGGTTGCTGCAACTGAGAGAAACATCGTATTAGTTCCTGAATACTGCTATAATAGGCTGTTTTGTTGTTTAATGTATTAATAGTATAAATGTATTTTTCAGAGATTAATTAAAGTTTTAGATCACATTTACAGCAATTTTATAGTCTCATTGTCACATTCAGCAGTCTCTGAGATGTCCGCTTCATCTATTTTCTTTTTGTCGTATGTATTCTGTTGGAAATGTGTTCTAACATAATTATGTGAGAAATGCTTCTGCCTTTTTCAGCTGTTGACTTAAAATGATTAAACTTTGTATTGTTCATTGTTGCTAGGAAAATATTAGGAAAACTCTTTCAGTATTTTTTCTGCATGTATGAAGGACTCATACAGAATCTGAGAATCTATAAGTTGTGTGGTTTTAATTTCTTGTTTTTATAACCACTAGGCATGTCTTTCAGAAGATAACCATATTGTTATATGATGCAACTTGTGTTTACTGCTGTTACAGAACAGAAAAACTTCTGCATATGTGAGCAATAAAGCAGAAATACAAATTTGTTGCTGCCAGAATATGTGCTGCTAAAAATGTATATATAGATGCTGTCACTTCAATTTTCAGAAGAAAATGGTGTCTTTTTAACTGCAGAAGAACAAGGCTTTGTCTTCCTGTAATTCTGAAGTGAAAGTTGTCATCAACAAGACAACTAAAACCTTTTAAAGATAGGCATTAGTAGTAGAATGCTGAAACAAACTTCTGGATTAGCTTCATTGGCTTTCCTACTTCTTTTGCATCCCAAAGCATAAGCTTAAATCGTCTCAGAAGGACAAGGTCCGCCAGTTTATGGCCTTTACCCAGGCTGGTGAAAGGACTGCTATATACTGCTTAACGCAGAATGAATGGAAACTAGAAGTCGCAACAGACAACTACTTCCAGAATCCAGACTTATACTACAAAGAATCCATGAAAAATTCAGTAGACAGGAAGAAATTAGAACAGCTGTATAATCGATACAAAGGTAAGGCTTGTGGGTTTTTCGTTGTGGGTTTTGGGGTATTTTTTCCTAATTATTTTGTTTGGGTGGTTTTTCTGTTTTTCCCTCTGCCCTTCTTAAGGACTTCTAAGTAAAGCTTCCTAGCTTTTGCTTCTCTCTGTATGTGGTAATGAGACAAGAATGAAAAAGGTTTTAAATGCTCTTAGGGGTCAGTACACAACTTCTGTAGAGATTCCTGTAGAGCGTGAAAGTAGAAAATTAAATTCAATCGTGAGGAAAAAGTGTCAGCTATGTATGGTAGCAAAGTTTATTACACAACTTATTTGATTTATTGCCAGTAACTGCTCTTAAATATGTAAATGTTGTAACTTTCCATGACAAAATAATACATGTTGTTCTTACACTAATGTTTGGGGGAGTTAATTATGTTCAAAGACAGTAGTATTTCTATATGAAGTAAAGGAAAGTAGATTAAAGGCAGAGTTACTCCTTTTCCATATTTTACTTTACAGCATTGTTAAAAAAGAACAGAAAAAAATGTAAGGAAAATATAGCCATGTAAATATAAGAATGTACATGATCCAGATTATAGTGCCTGCTGAACTGTGGCCATCTGACATGGTGGAGCAGTGCAGGCTGGAATCACGCCAGCCCCTGATAAGATCCATACACCTTGTGTTTTAAAACATGGACTCAACCACTATTCAGCTATGATTTCATGTACTTGAAATATACGGCATGCTTCGTATATGCTTTATCCTGTTCTTAGGATATTGTTTGCGCTTTTTTTGTTCCTCTTTACATAATCTGTTCTATTTTAGGTGTATGGATTCTTTAATATTCCGTTATTTTGTGGTAATGAATTGTTTAGGAACAAAGAAGCAACAAGGCTATAGCATTTTCTTTGTGAACTTAGAGAACTTTTTTTGGTTTTTAAATATATGTATATATTTACATATATATAACACATACGTGTATCTAAATCTTTGCTTGCTCCTTGCATGTCAGTCTTGGAGATTGCTGGGTTAAAAATATATATTCGAATTCTTAAATGCTGCTAAGAATATCTATAATGGAAAAACATTATCACAAATGTTATTCATCATTTTCTAGCAGTGGCAAACTGCACCATTTGACTTTTGTGGAAGTCAGTTTTATGTCAGTGTTTAAGTTTGCAGCACACCTTTGCAGTTCTGGCACTTCAACTCTTAAAGTTGTAAACTTGAAAAAAACTTCACAATATTTGACAGAAGACAATAAAAGTTTTGGTTAGGCACCTTTCCTTTTTTCATATCTGGCTTAAACCTGAGTCATTGGAATTCCTTTGTTCTACAGGGCCTATACAATATTGCACTATCCTTGAAATCTGAGATGAAATGTCTTTCATTTTCTGTTGCCTTTTTGTTAGTTTTTTTTTATCTGTTCAGCCAGCAACTCTGTTAAAACAACAATTTCATTTTTGTTTGTAGTTACCTGGATGACATGAAACATGATAGGGACAGTCTTTTTTGAAATCCTTCTGAATTTTTTCCACTGATTGCAACACAGTGCACTTCTCACCTTTGGTTCTTCAATTACTCCCCAAATATACAAGAAATGTGTTTTACACGTCTTAGAACTTGTTGAACAGATACATTTTCTTGTTATTTGGGATCAAAGGTCCCTGAATTATAACATGGGTGTAATTCTTTGTTTAATGGGTATAAGTCTTTGTCTTTGTTTGCTAAATTAACTTCCTCTCTGGAATTTACCATTTCTTTCACTGTAGTATTGGCTGAAAAAATAGATCTTAACTTAAGAACTAAATTAAAAATTAAAAAAAAATTGATTTAGACTTGATTTTTTTTTTTTTAATCAACTTCTTGGATCAGGACTTGAAAATAGCATGGTTGAAAATCTTACCAGTTTAAGGAGTTAGTTTTAAATTTACTTGAGGGATGTTTTTCTATAAAGCCCAACTTATGATACTTAAATGTCTTCTTATCAAAAGCTGGGAGACACAGTTTTGTGGTTTGTAAACTGTCAAGCTTTAAAAAC